GTGCGTATGTGTGTGTTTGTGAATGTGTTTGTGCGCTCGAGTGTGTGTGTGTGTGTGTTTGTGTGTGTGTTTATGTGCCATGTGTGTGTGTGTGTGTGTGTGTGTGTGTGTGTGTGCGCGCGCGTGTGTACGAGTGTGTACGAGGGTGAGCAAGTGGCTTGGAAAGGTGAGCATTTGTATATTGGTGAAGAACGATTTTTGCTTTTCTGTATGTGACTCTTTTTCTATTCCTGTGTGAGATAGATAGATGGATAGACAGATAGCTAGAGAGAAATAATAGAATTGAAAAGTACCACAGCTCATGCTGATATACTTCATCAGACCCAGCTGCGGACAACTGGCTTTCCTCAAAGTTTTTAATTTCCTTCTGAAACGACCCATGCAGGTTATTTTTATTTATTTTTGTCACCAAGTCCTTGTTTGCGTCAGGTTCCAAGCTTCTTACAAAATCGACCAAATCCTAATATTGTCTTTTACTTCTCCCGGCGATTTGAATAGTATTGGGATTTTATATTCCAAAGGGCGTCATGGGATCTGTAAATTTCAATGAATTGAAGAATTTTCTCTTTTGACCGGGTTGCCATTTTGCAGTATGCTTAGATGTATAGCTTGTGCGGACAATCAAGTGTGTGTGTGTGTGTGTGTGTGTGTGTGTGTGTGTGTGTGTATGTGTGTTTTAGATCTGCTGCACATCGTGACAGAGGCCAACCTTCTACAGAACCCATCCTGCTGTGAATGCACATATTATGTTTGTAGATTTTTTTTGTTGTCTTTAATTATTGAATTTAAAAAATGCCCTGCTCGGGTCTTGCCTTAAAATTGAGTCGCTGGTTTCGAACATGTATCAGATTTTATGTGTGGTAAATCATTATGAAGAAATTAGATAAGCCGGTCAAGCCAGTGACGTCACACAAAAGGCTGTCATCGACGGAACGCGATTAAGTGTCGCCAGAGAATCCAACGTGTTGAAACCGCCAGTTCGGCCTTAACTTTTTTCTTTGCAGCTTTTCATCTAAATCTGCGGTTTTGTCGCCACGTTTGCATGTTCATTCCGAACCGGCAGTTTGGAACGTAGATGTGTTGGGCCACTAGTCATAGGGTAACTCCGGTTTTCGGGTAATGATGGCAGCTTGCATGTTGGTGGCCGCTCTGTTTTTGTCCTTTGAGGGTTGAGTGTTGACGGGGATTCAAGGAGGGTGTAGTTGAGATTACCTCTTTCTCTTTGTCTGGGTGATTTTTGGGGACTTGTGTTGGATGGTCTGTCTGTCTATATGTCTGTCTAAATGTCTGTCTGTCTGTCCCTCTCTCATGTCACGCTTTCCCAGTCTTTTTTCATTTACACATACTCGCGGTGACACACTCACACACACACACACACACACACACACACACACACACACACACACACACACCCCCCCCCCCAAAAAACAAAACAAAAAACAAACTAACAAAACAACCAACAACAACGAAATTCTAACAAAGAAACAAAACACACACAAAGACAAACACACAGCTATCTCTCCTGTTGTTTAATTTGAGCAAATACGGAATACACGCACATCGAACTAAAGTGCTGCGATGGAAACGATTTCATGTTACATTTTATTTTACACTTTAGAACGAAACAAATACATTCATGTATAATAATAATATTGGCTCGTTTGCAAATAAAGTACATGTATATCCAAAATTCTGATAGAATATTCGGACATCGTACGGACAATTTCCAGTTTTGCTTTACATTCCAAGTTAATCTTCATTCGTCTCCGTGACTAACATGTAGAATACTGATGCATAATGACCGATTTGAACACAAGGGAATCCATTGCTCACCCTCCACAAAGTACCGAAATGCCACAATTTTTTATTTTTATTATATTTCATTTTTACAGCGATGTTCTGATACTGAGAAGCTCGATTGGGGTCTTGGGGCAAATCGTTGACTATTCCTCTGGGACTGAGACAGCCCCCCCCCCCCAATCGAAAAAGAAAAAAAAATAGCGAACCGTCGAACCGTGCGTTATGTTACAAAATAGGACCGTTTTTTCCCCCGCGCTGGGCTTGGCAAGCAGCCCGTGGAGTTCCCTGAATCTCATCTCTCGCACTGACGTAAGTGGATTCTCCACACGGTCATCTGAGCCGGTCAATATGATGACATTGTCCGCTGGTATTATGGCTTTTCTCTTTAGGGCCCCTCTTCAGGAGAAACTAATGGGCGAAAAGATAGATGTAGCAATTTCTCAAGATTAGATACAAGACCAAATGGGTCGAACAAATTTTATGACAGTCACAGGCGTGAGGAAAAAGGACAGTGTTTACTGGAAAGGAAAATGGTTTAAAAAAAAACAAAAAAAACAACATCCCAACTCAGGTAGATAAGACAACAAATGAGAGAGTTGCCTAGAAACCCCCCCCCCTAAAAAGACACAAAACTAAACAAAACGAGGAAAACTATGGATGTTTTATAAAATATTGTTAGCTTTGGTGTCTTCGAAAGGGGGGAGGGGAGGGGGGCTGAGACTGGGGATGAGGAGGGGGGTTTAGGGTACATTTTTCTTTGTAGCGCAGTCGGTTGAATGCCTCACTTAACACGGTTTAAGTTCGTTCTGAAGACCGGGTTCCGTCCCATGAATCAGTGGACCAGGCGGAGAGGAAGATAATGAGAAGGATGAGAAAAGTTTCATTACTGCGTTCTGACCAGAACCCACGGATTTCGACCATCTGGGAGAAGAAGTTAAGTAAGGAATGTTTCTATAAAGGGCGATTTCAATCTGGTTTGGTTTCCGGGGGTGCTGTTACTGTGGCGTAGTTATTGGTTTGTTTTATACATTTATTTTATTTTACTCTGGGCAGTTACGATTTTTTGTCACGTGATGTCAAAGAATATTCTCGATTTGTTAGTAATGTTGACCTCGTCATAATATTATTTTAAGGGCATGTTCTACATAATGAAATGAACCTTTTTTAATGAAGAAAAAGTTACGTTTAATTTGATAAATGTATGCAAAACTCCATGATCGTCGCTAAATGAAATGTCTGTCGTATTTTTGAAAACCCGCATCCCCTTTCTATTGCTTTCCTAATTCTGTGCCCGAAACGGACATGAATATAAAGGGAAGGAACTGGGGGGTCACTCAGGGTCGGATGTGAGTCACGGGTAGGCATGAGCGTCAGCGCGTGCGCTGGAAAGTTTGGGCAGGGGGAGGGGTAGTGGTTGGGAAAGAGGAGGGCCGGTCTTGGGGAATGGCGGAACTTACATAAACTGCAGTCGATAATTGGCAAGCGTTTTGCCAATAGGCGTCGCTCCGGTCTTAGGGGCCCCAACACGTCTACGTTCCAACGAGGTGGTTTTGATCAGAGTGGGAACTGGCGTTGGAACCGCTGTACAAAACCGCAATTGGACGGATCGGCGCATCATCCACATCACGTGTGGTTTAACCATTGCGAGTGTATGGAGAATGACGATTTGCTTGTAATCTATGTGCTGCTCTTGGCGAAGAAAAACGAGAAGGGAAAAATAAGGATGAAAGACTGGCCTCAGAAAAGATATCACTTGATAAGTCTATCTTTGTTTTGCGGGAATTACGGCCTTATCCTTATGATTTCAGTAATTTTTCTTACGAGTGTGTGTGTGTGTGTGTGTGTGTGTGTGTGTGTGTGTGTGTGTGTGTGTG